CAGGACAGGCAGACGCAGGCATAGCCCTTCTGCTGCACGGCCGCAGCAAGCTTGTCCAGCTCGCGGGCGTTGAGCAGTAGCTTGCGGGTGCGTACCGGGTCGGCAATCACATGAGTACTCGCGGTGGTCAGCGGGGTGATATGACTGCCCAGCAGCCACGCTTCACCATCCTTGAGCAGTACGTAACTGTCGACCAGCTGCAGTTTGCTGGCACGCAGACTCTTTACTTCCCAGCCGGCCAGGACCAGACCAGCCTCGAAACGATGTTCGATGAAGTAATCGTGTCGCGCCTTTTTATTTTGCGCGATGGTCCCTGTGGGGTGTTTCTTTTGTTTAGCCATAGGGGCGGCATTATAGGCAGTTGCGAGCCTGGCGGCTACGGTCAACCTGCGTGCTTGAGCGTGTTGGACGAATCCCGGACAATGCGGGCAGTTCTTTGGTTTTTTTCTCTCGCGGATCGGGCTGTTCCTTCGCGATGTTTGCCGCTCAGCTGTGGAAATAACGCACACATGACGACGCATATTCAACGTTCGGCGCTGCTGCCCTATCCGGCACAGGCGCTCTATGATCTGGTCAACGACGTGGCGCGTTATCCGGAATTCCTGCCCTGGTGCTCAACTGCCGAAGTGCTTGAAAGCAGTGCTGAGCACATGGTCGCCAGCGTGGGCGTGGCCAAGGGGGGGCTTAGTCAGCACTTCGTTACGCGCAATGTATTGGTGCCGGGTAAATCCATCGAAATGAATTTGCAGGAAGGCCCATTCACCCAGTTGCATGGCGTATGGATTTTTAAAGCATTGACGGACAAGGCCTGCAAAATCAGCCTGGATTTGTCGTTTGATTATGCCGGACCCATCGTACGAGCGACGCTTGGGCCGTTATTCAATCAGGCGGCCAATACCTTGGTGGATGCATTCTGTCAGCGGGCTAAGCAGCTGCATGGTTGAAATCGAAGTGGTGCACGCCGCTGTCGATCGTCAGGTCTTGCTTGCCGTGGCCGTGCCCTTGGGCACGAGTGTGCGCAAGGCGGTACAGCTCTCGGGAGTTCTGGAGCAGTTCCCCGGTATTGATCCGGCGACTTGTCCATTAGGGATATTCGGTAAGGCTATTTCTGACGCTGATGTGCGTGTTGTACAAGCGGGCGATCGAGTTGAGATTTACCGTCCCTTGTTGGCTGATCCCAAGGAAGTGCGTAGGTTGCGTGCAGCCAAGGCAGCGCTTGCCAGGCAGCAGAATACTTAGCTCCGCTAATCGGCAGATACGAAAAAGCCCGGCATGCCGGGCTTTTTTTCGTGTGCCGCACAGTTTTATTGTGGGCTGGTGTCCAGCGGCTGAGGTGTCGGGACGGGAACGGTTTCCACGCCGTCGACATCCTTCTGGATTCTGTCCAGCAAGGAACCCGGCTTTGCGGGGACCTCCGACTTCTGCTTTTCGCCTTCTTGCGCGGGAGCCGTCACATTCGTGTCGTTGTCTTTGCCCAATAAGGCTTCATCACGGCTTACGCCGGGCATGAAGTCACCGGACAGGCTGACAAGCTGGTCATTGCCATTAAAAATGACGCTGACGCGCTCCTGCTGGCGTTCACCGCCACCCGGCTGAATGCTGTAGAGATAATCCCAGCGATCGGCATGGAAAGTGTCGGTCAGCAGGGGGTTGCCCATAATAAACCGTACTTGCCGTCGGGTCATTCCGGGGCGTAACTGGTCTATCATGTCCTGCGTGACGACATTGCCCTGCTGGATGTCGATTTTGTAAACCCCGGGGAATGAACAACCGGCGAGTGCGAGCAGTCCCACAAAGGTGAAACTGGTTAGCAAGAGCTTGGTGTTTTGCATCGGTGGGCGACTTCCACTATCTTGGCTGGGACAACGTAAACGCCGATCATACCCGTATTAAGAGAAGCTGCGAAGCAGCATCCGCGAGAAAGCTAACCATGGTTGAAAATAGCGAACTACGCAAAGCCGGTCTCAAAGTGACTCTGCCACGAGTCAAGATTCTACAAATGCTCGATTCTGCCGAGCAGCGCCACATGAGTGCTGAAGATGTTTATAAGGCGCTGATGGAGTCTAATGAGGACGTTGGCCTGGCCACGGTTTACCGTGTGCTGACCCAGTTTGAAGCCGCAGGGCTGGTGGTTCGTCATAATTTCGACGGCGGTCATGCAGTGTTCGAACTGGCTGACGGTGGTCATCACGACCATATGGTGGACCTCGATACCAATGAGGTTATTGAGTTCACCAGCCCGGCAATCGAGAAGCTTCAGCATGAAATCGCTGAAGAACATGGCTTCGATCTGGTTGACCATAATCTTGTGTTGTACATCCGTAAGAAAAAGTAAAAAAACGCTACAGATGTACTTTGCAAACAGCACGAAGGCGACCCTTGGGTCGCCTTCGTGCTGTTTGCAAGAAAATTCCGGTTCATGCCTTGGCGGCTACGACCATCTTCTTCGCATGCGCCAGAGACTCTTTGGTCAGGTCTATCCCACCCAGCATGCGAGCCACTTCTTCCACGCGTTCTGACTTGTTCAATCTGGACACAGCTGTACGTGTTGCATCGCTGCCTCTGACCTTGTGTACAAACAAATGTTGATGCCCTTGCGCCGCGACCTGCGGCAAGTGCGTCACTGTGAGTACCTGGCCTCGCTCTCCCAGGCGGCGCAACAGTTGGCCGACAATTTCCGCCGTTGGCCCGCCGATGCCTACGTCCACCTCGTCGAATACCAGCGTGGGTACTCTGGAGGTCTGTGCGGTAATCACTTGGATAGCCAGGCTGATTCGCGACAGCTCGCCCCCGGAGGCGACTTTTGCCAGCGCTTTGAGAGGTTGCCCCGGGTTGGCGCTGACCAGCAGTTCTACCTGTTCCAGGCCATGGGGCTGCAATTCGTTACTGGTATTGGTGCGCAACTCAATAGTGAAGCGTCCGCCGGGCATGCCCAGGCGCTGAATTTCTTGCTCAACAGCCCCAGCAAGATTTGTGGCTGCGTGCTGGCGTAACTCGCTCAGTTCGCGGGCTTTCTCTTGATAATGCCGAGCATAGGAGGCCAGTTCGTCGCCCAGTCTTTCAATGGATTCATCGTTGGCATTCAGGGTTTCGATTTCATCCAGCAATTTCTGCTGCATCGCCGCCAGTTCAGTGGGCTGGATTCGATGTTTGCGGGCCAGGGTATAAATAGTGTCCAGTCGTTCTTCTATTTCCTGCAGGCGCGCCGGATCGGCATCGAAGTGGTCCAGAAACCTATTCAGCTCGCCGACTGCTTCTTCAACCTGGATCTGCGCACTGGTCAGCAGGGTTGTCGCTTCGCTCAGCGAACCCGAGGCGTTATTCACGCTGGACAGGCGGTTGAGGCTGGCCGTGAGCGCGTTGAGCACATTTCCGGAATCGCTTTCGCTGCATTGCTCCACCACCTGACGGCAGATACCCAGAAGGGTTTCTGCATTGGTGAGGTTCTTGTGTTCCTGTTCAAGCTGCTCCAGCTCCGTTTCGCCAAGACCCAGGCTCTCCAGCTCTTCGAACTGATAGCTGAGTAACTGATGGCGAGCGCGTTGCTCATCGCCGGAATTGGAGAGTCGTTCCAGTTCCAGGCGTGTCTGGCGCCAGCGTTGCGCAGCAAGCTGCACTTGCCTGGATAGATCGGTGGCGCCAGCGTATTCGTCGAGCAAGCGCCGATGTGTGTCGGTTTTAAGCAGAGACTGATGTTCGTGCTGGCTGTGGATATCGATCAGCAATTCACCCAATGCTTTCAGGTCGCCAAGCGGGCAGGGCGTGCCGTTGATATAGCCGCGTGAGCGCCCTTCGGCAGTGATGACCCGTCGCAGGATGCACGGTCCTTCATGGCTAAGGTCGCGCTCAGCCAGCCAGGTTTCAGCTTCTGGAATATCCGCCAAGTCGAAAGTGGCCAGGATATCGGCCTTTTCTGCGCCTGGGCGCACTACGCCGCTGTCGGCGCGATCGCCCAGGGTCAGGCCCAGGGCGTCTAGCATGATCGACTTGCCGGCGCCGGTTTCGCCTGTGATTACGCTCATTCCGCGATCCAGTTCGAGATCCAGATGTTCAACAATGGCGTAGTTATGTACGGACAGGTGCACGAGCATGATGGCCGCTCCCAGGCTTTATGTCTGGTTATTTATACAGTGTTTTGTCAGGAGGTGACAATCCTGATGCTTAGTTCGATTTGCTTGGATCCATACTGTTTTTAGCGCAATCGGGAATTTGCGGGCAGGAATTAATCCTGACCCTCTGCGTGACTTTTGGTCATGCTTGCGCCCTTGAACCTGGAAATTGTGGCCCCATATACCGGAACAGAAGCGCGAGTTGAGTTCGCGCATGATTTTGAAAGGAGAGAATCTATGGCTGACGAACAGACGCAGGATACGCAAACTCCAGACGCCAATTCGGCTGTCGGTGATGAACTGGCAACTCGTGTGCAAGTGCTAGAAGAGCAATTGGCCGCTGCGCAGGATCAGTCTTTGCGTGTTGCCGCTGATCTGCAGAACGTCCGCCGCCGTGCCGAGCAGGATGTAGAAAAAGCGCATAAATTCGCGCTGGAAAAATTCGCTAGCGACCTGCTGCCGATTATCGACAGTCTGGAGCGCGGCCTGGAGCTGTCCAATCCGGATGATGAAAACATCCGTGCGATGCGCGAAGGCATTGAGCTGACCCTGAAGATGTTTCAGGACACGCTCAAACGGTATCAGTTGGAAGCTATCGATCCGCAAGGCGGTGAGCCGTTCAACGCTGAGCATCATCAGGCTATGGCCATGCAAGAAAGCCACGACCTTGAGCCCAACAGCGTGTTGAAGGTGTTCCAGAAAGGATACCTGCTCAACGGTCGCTTGCTGCGCCCGGCAATGGTGGTGGTAAGCAAGGCGCCAGCGCCCGTTGCACCTTCTATTGATGAGCAGGCTTGAAATCCGCCGCAAGGCCCCCATTTATAAGTCAAGCGTTTAAGTGCTACCGCAGTTAGCCAAAACTGCTGCGGCAACAAAATTCAAGTTTCGGGAGAGTAAATCATGGGCAAAATTATCGGTATCGACCTGGGGACCACCAACTCGTGCGTCTCGGTCATGGAAAACGGCAAGGCCAAAGTTATTGAGAACGCCGAAGGCGCGCGTACCACGCCGTCGATTATCGCTTACGCCAATGACGGCGAGATCCTGGTCGGTCAGTCGGCCAAGCGTCAGGCGGTGACTAACCCGCATAACACTCTGTACGCGGTAAAGCGTCTGATCGGTCGTAAGTTCGACGAAGAAGTCGTGCAAAAAGACATCAAGATGGTGCCTTACAAAATCGCCAAGGCTGACAATGGTGACGCCTGGGTTGAAGTGAACGGCAATAAAATGTCCGCCCCGCAGATCTCGGCTGAAGTCTTGAAAAAGATGAAGAAGACTGCCGAAGACTATCTGGGTGAAGCTGTGACCGAGGCGGTGATCACCGTTCCGGCTTACTTCAACGACAGCCAGCGTCAGGCGACCAAAGATGCCGGCCGCATCGCAGGTCTGGACGTAAAACGTATCATCAACGAACCGACCGCTGCTGCTCTGGCTTACGGTATGGACAAGGCCAAAGGCGATCACACCGTGATCGTTTATGACCTGGGTGGCGGTACCTTTGACGTATCGGTGATCGAGATTGCCGAAGTCGATGGCGAGCACCAGTTCGAAGTGCTGGCTACCAACGGTGACACCTTCTTGGGTGGTGAAGACTTTGACATTCGTCTGATCGACTACCTCGTTGACGAATTCAAGAAAGAAAGCGGCATGAACCTTAAAGGTGATCCGCTGGCGATGCAGCGTCTGAAAGAAGCTGCCGAGAAAGCCAAGATCGAGCTGTCGTCGAGCATGTCGACTGACGTTAACCTGCCGTACATCACAGCAGATGCTACCGGTCCTAAGCACTTGAACGTGAAGATTTCTCGCGCCAAGTTGGAGGCACTGGTTGAAGACCTGGTTCAGCGTACCATCGAACCTTGCCGCATTGCATTGAAAGACGCTGGCATCGACGTTGGCTCCATCAACGACGTGATCCTGGTGGGCGGTCAGACTCGTATGCCGCTGGTGCAGCAGAAAGTCACCGAGTTCTTCGGTAAAGAAGCACGTAAAGACGTCAACCCGGACGAAGCGGTTGCCATGGGTGCTGCGATTCAGGGCGCGGTATTGGCCGGTGATGTGAAAGACGTGCTGTTGCTGGACGTCAGCCCGCTGACCCTGGGTATCGAAACCATGGGTGGCGTGATGACCGCGCTGATCGAGAAAAACACCACGATTCCTACCAAGAAATCTCAGGTGTTCTCGACTGCCGATGACAACCAGGGCGCCGTGACTATTCATGTGCTGCAAGGTGAGCGTAAGCAAGCCTCTCAGAACAAGTCTCTGGGCAAGTTCGACCTGGCTGATATTCCACCAGCGCCTCGTGGTGTGCCACAAATCGAAGTGACCTTCGACATCGACGCCAACGGCATTCTGCACGTAGGTGCGAAAGACAAGGCGACCGGGCAAAGAGCAGAAGATCACGATCAAGGCCAACTCCGGTCTGTCTGATGAAGAAATTCAGCAGATGATTCGTGATGCTGAAGCCAATGCTGACGCCGATGCCAAGTTTGCTGAGTTGGCTGGTGCTCGTAACCAGGGCGATGCTCTGGTGCACTCGACCCGCAAAATGGTCGTGGATGCTGGCGAAAAAGTAACGGCTGAAGAGAAAGCTGCAATCGAGGCTGCCGTGGTTGCCCTGGAAGCCGCCGTCAAAGGCGATGACAAGGCCGCCATTGAAGCCAAGATTGAAGAGTTGTCGAAAGTCTCTGCGCCAGTGGCTCAGAAGATGTACGCCGAGCAAGCTCAGCCGGCAGACGGTGCTGCACAACAGGCAGAACCAGAAGCCAAGCATGATGACGTTGTCGATGCTGAGTTCGAAGAAGTTAAAGAAGACCAGAAGAAGTAACTTGGTCGCCCGGTTGACCGCTTTCAAGCGGTGACTGGTAGGATGTCGCCGCGCGGGAGCTAGCTCCCGCGTTGGCGTGTCTGGGGTATGCGAATTTTTACAGTGTGCGACAACAGTCGGATGCTGGCGGTGTGATCGGGGATGCTCCTGCTTTCCGAGGGTTTAATGCCGCGTTTTTGGCCGGGCGCCTGGCTGAAAGCAGTGATGACCAGGATCGTTGAATTGACGTGAGTTGGGTCCGGGCCTGTATTGGGGCTCAACGAGTTCGGCAAGGCTCAGGAGGGCCTGGCTGAACGTCCTTAAGAGTGCAAAGACTTATGGCAAAGCGTGACTATTACGAAGTTTTGGGTGTGGAGCGTGGTGCCAGCGAGGCGGAGCTGAAAAAGGCTTACCGTCGTCTGGCGATGAAGCACCACCCGGACCGTAATCCGGATAACAAAGAATCCGAAGAAATGTTCAAAGAGGCCAATGAGGCCTACGAATGCCTATGTGATCCCAATAAGCGTGCAGCCTACGATCAGTATGGCCATGCCGGTGTCGACCCAAGCATGGGGGGCGGCGGCGCCGGTTTTGGTGGGCAGAACTTCTCCGATATTTTCGGCGATGTGTTCAGCGACTTCTTTGGCGGCGGCCGCGGTGGTCAGCGTGGCGGTGCGCAGCGCGGCAGCGACTTGCGCTACACCCTGGAACTGAACCTGGAAGAAGCGGTTCGCGGTACCAGCGTCAATATTCGTGTGCCAACGCTGGTCAACTGCAAGCCGTGCGACGGTTCGGGCGCCAAGAAAGGCTCTTCGCCCATCACCTGCCCTACGTGCGGTGGTATTGGCCAGGTTCGTATGCAACAAGGCTTCTTCTCGGTGCAGCAGACGTGCCCGCGTTGCCATGGACAGGGCAAGATCATCTCCGATCCATGCGATTCCTGTCATGGCGAAGGTCGTGTCGAAGAGTACAAAACCTTGTCGGTGAAAGTGCCGGCGGGTGTGGATACCGGTGATCGCATTCGCCTGTCGGGTGAGGGTGAGGCTGGCACCCAGGGAGGGCCAACGGGTGACTTGTACGTGGTGATCAACGTGCGTGAGCATGCGATCTTCCAGCGCGACGGCAAGCATCTGTTCTGCGAAGTGCCGATCAGTTTTGTCGATGCGGCGCTGGGTGGCGAGTTGGAGATTCCGACGCTGGATGGTCGCGTCAAGCTCAAGATCCCTGAAGGCACGCAAACCGGTAAACAGTTCCGTATTCGCGGCAAAGGCGTTGCGCCGGTACGTGGCGGCGGTGCGGGTGACTTGATGTGCCGTGTGGCGGTGGAAACACCGGTCAATCTGGGGCGTCGTCAGCGTGAGCTGCTCGAAGAGTTCCGTAGCTCGCTGGAAGGCGATGATACCCATTCGCCGAAAACCACTGGTTTCTTCGAAGGCGTGAAGCGCTTCTTCGGCGATCTGTAAGGAATTGAGTATGCGACGTATAGCCGTAATGGGCGCTGCCGGGCGCATGGGCAAGACGCTGGTTGAAGCGGTGCAGTTGCGCTCTCCGGCCTCCGGGCTGACGGCGGCGATCGTTCGCCCGGGCAGCACTTTGATCGGCGCGGATGCCGGTGAGTTGGCCTCATTGGGGCGTATCGGCGTTTCGTTGTCGGGCAGCCTGGAGCAGGTAGCCGATGAGTTCGATGTGTTGATCGATTTCACGCTACCCGAGGTGATGCTCAAGAATCTGGCGTTCTGTCGCAAGGCAGGCAAGGCTATGGTCATTGGCACTACGGGGTTGAGTGCCGAGCAAAAGCAGTTGCTGGTGGAGGCAGGCAATGAGATCCCTATGGTGTTTGCCGCCAACTTCAGTGTCGGTGTGAACCTGTCGCTCAAGCTGTTGGACATGGCGGCGCGAGTGCTGGGTGATGAGGCGGATATCGAGATTATCGAGACCCACCATCGTCACAAAATCGACGCGCCCTCGGGTACTGCGCTGCGTATGGGCGAGGCTATCGCTGATGCGCTGGGTCGTGACTTGTCAAAAGTCGCGGTGTACGGGCGCGAGGGGTATACCGGTGAGCGCGCGCGCGACACCATCGGTTTCGCGACTGTTCGTGGTGGGGACGTCGTTGGTGATCACACCGTGCTATTCGCGGCCGAAGGCGAACGCCTGGAGATCACGCATAAGGCTTCCAGTCGTATGACGTTTGCTAAGGGGGCGGTCCGTGCCGCGCTCTGGCTGGAGGGGCGTGAGCCTGGCCTGTACGACATGCGAGACGTGCTGGATCTGCACTAATCAGTAGCCAAAACGGGGGCTCAGGATTATCCTGAGCCCCCGTTTTTACCCGCTAAGCGACGTCCTGTCGCATTCCCCTGCCTTTAAGGCTCATTAGCGGTGGACCCAAAAAGCCTTTTTCTGTAAGCTACAGCTTTAGTGTGTCCACTAAAAGCGCGCAGAATAATTCAGTGAACAAGCGGGGTGACGTGTCCATACGTCACTCCGCTTTTTTACAACCTGCGATCGCCCTTTCAGGCTTTATTTACGGGAGGTCTTCTTGACTAAGCCAGCCATACTCGCCCTTGCTGATGGCAGCATTTTTCGCGGCGAAGCCATTGGAGCCGACGGTCAAACCGTTGGAGAGGTAGTGTTTAACACTGCCATGACCGGCTATCAGGAAATCCTTACCGATCCTTCCTACGCCCAACAGATCGTTACCCTGACCTATCCACATATCGGCAACACCGGTACTACGCCGGAAGATGTCGAGTCTGATCGTGTCTGGTCGGCGGGGCTGGTGATTCGTGATCTGCCACTGGTTGCGAGCAACTGGCGCAACACGATGTCACTGTCCGATTACCTCAAAGCCAACAATGTGGTGGCGATCGCTGGTATCGATACGCGTCGCCTTACGCGCATCCTGCGTGAAAAAGGCTCGCAGAACGGCTGCATCATGGTCGGCGACAATATTTCCGAAGAGGCGGCGATCGCCGCGGCACAAGGCTTCCCTGGCCTGAAGGGCATGGACCTGGCGAAAGTTGTCAGCGTCAAAGAGAAGTACGAATGGCGCTCCACGGTCTGGGATTTGAAGACAGATAGCCATGCGACCATCGATGCTGCCGAGTTGCCTTATCACGTGGTCGCTTACGACTACGGCGTCAAGTACAACATCCTGCGCATGCTGGTCGAGCGTGGCTGCCGCGTGACCGTGGTACCTGCGCAAACCCCAGCCAGCGACGTGCTTGCTCTGCAACCGGACGGCGTGTTCCTGTCCAACGGCCCGGGTGACCCTGAGCCTTGCGACTACGCCATCCAGGCCATTAAGGAAGTACTGGAAACCGAGATTCCGGTATTCGGTATCTGCCTCGGCCACCAACTGCTGGCTCTGGCCTCCGGTGCTAAAACCCTGAAAATGGGGCACGGCCACCACGGCGCCAACCACCCTGTTCAGGACTTGGACACTGGTGTCGTGATGATCACCAGCCAGAACCACGGTTTTGCGGTGGATGAAGCCACCTTGCCGGCCAACGTCCGCGCGATTCATAAGTCGCTGTTTGACGGTTCCCTGCAAGGCATCGAGCGCACCGACAAGAGCGCGTTCAGCTTCCAGGGCCACCCTGAAGCCAGCCCGGGCCCGAACGACGTAGCGCCGCTGTTCGACCGTTTCATCAATGAGATGGCCAAGCGACGCTGACTGAGCAGCCTGCGGGCGGCCCCGAAACCCGGTGGCCCTCGCGGGCTCTCTAAAGATTGTTCAAGACGGCTTGCCGACTGACCTGCGGATTTGAGTGACAAACCCATGCCAAAACGTACAGACATAAAAAGCATCCTGATTCTCGGCGCTGGCCCGATTGTGATCGGCCAGGCCTGCGAGTTCGACTACTCCGGCGCCCAGGCCTGTAAAGCCCTGCGCGAAGAGGGCTACCGCGTCATCCTGGTGAACTCCAACCCAGCCACCATCATGACCGACCCGGCGATGGCTGACGCGACCTACATCGAGCCGATCAAATGGCAGACGGTTGCCAAGATCATCGAGAAAGAGCGTCCGGACGCGTTGCTGCCGACCATGGGTGGCCAGACTGCCCTGAACTGCGCCCTGGATCTGGAGCGCGAAGGCGTTCTGGAGAAGTTCGGCGTAGAGATGATCGGCGCCAATGCCGACACCATCGACAAAGCCGAAGACCGCTCGCGCTTCGACAAGGCCATGAAGTCCATCGGCCTGGCCTGCCCGCGCTCCGGTATCGCCCACAGCATGGAGGAAGCCAATGCGGTCCTCGAGACCTTGGGTTTCCCATGCATCATCCGTCCGTCCTTCACCATGGGCGGCACCGGTGGTGGTATTGCCTACAACCGTGAAGAATTCGAAGAAATCTGCGCCCGTGGTCTGGACCTGTCGCCGACCAAAGAGCTGCTGATCGACGAATCCTTGATCGGTTGGAAAGAATACGAGATGGAGGTTGTTCGCGATAAGAAAGACAACTGCATCATCGTCTGCTCCATCGAAAACTTCGACCCGATGGGCGTGCACACCGGTGACTCCATCACCGTGGCGCCAGCGCAGACCCTGACCGATAAGGAATATCAGATCCTGCGTAACGCCTCCCTGGCGGTATTGCGCGAGATCGGTGTAGAAACCGGCGGTTCCAACGTTCAGTTCGGGATCTGCCCGAACACTGGCCGTATGGTCGTGATCGAAATGAACCCGCGTGTTTCCCGTTCGTCGGCACTGGCTTCTAAGGCCACGGGTTTCCCGATCGCCAAGGTCGCTGCCAAACTGGCCGTGGGTTATACCTTGGATGAACTGTCGAACGACATCACTGGCGGCAAGACCCCAGCGTCCTTCGAGCCTTCCATCGACTACGTGGTGACCAAGCTGCCGCGCTTTGCTTTTGAGAAGTTCGCCAAAGCGGATGCGCGCCTGACTACCCAGATGAAGTCCGTGGGCGAAGTGATGGCCATCGGCCGGACCTTCCAGGAGTCCCTGCAGAAAGCCCTGCGTGGCCTGGAAGTCGGCGTGTGCGGCCTGGATGAGAAGCTCGATCTGAGCAACCCGGAAAGCATGAGCGTGCTCAAGCGCGAACTGACCGTGCCGGGTGCCGAGCGGATCTGGTACGTCGCTGATGCGTTCCGTGCCGGCCTGAGTGTCGAAGACATCTTCGGCATGAACATGATCGACCCGTGGTTCCTGGTGCAGATCGAAGATCTGATCAAGGAAGAAGAGAAGGTCAAGACCCTGGGTCTGGCCAGCATCGACCGCGACATGATGTTCCGCCTCAAGCGCAAGGGCTTCTCCGACCAGCGCCTGGCCAAGTTGCTGGGTGTGACCGAGAAGAACCTGCGCACTCATCGCCACAAGCTGGAGATCTTCCCGGTCTACAAGCGCGTGGATACCTGCGCGGCCGAGTTCTCCACCGACACCGCTTATCTGTACTCCACCTACGAGGAAGAGTGCGAAGCGGCGCCGTCGGGTCGCGACAAGATCATGATCCTGGGTGGCGGTCCTAATCGTATCGGCCAGGGCATCGAATTTGACTACTGCTGCGTACACGCTGCTCTCGCCCTGCGCGAAGACGGGTACGAGACCATCATGGTCAACTGCAACCCGGAAACCGTTTCCACCGATTACGATACTTCTGATCGTCTGTACTTCGAGCCGGTGACCCTGGAAGACGTGCTGGAAATCGTGCGTGTCGAGAAGCCTAAAGGCGTGATCGTTCAGTACGGCGGCCAGACTCCGCTGAAGCTGGCGCGTGCCTTGGAAGCTGCTGGTGTGCCAATTATCGGTACCAGCCCGGACGCCATCGACCGTGCAGAAGACCGTGAGCGTTTCCAGCAAATGGTTGAGCGCTTGAACCTGCGTCAGCCGCCAAACGCCACCGTGCGCAGCGAAGACGAAGCAATTCGTGCGGCCAGCAAAATTGGCTACCCGTTGGTGGTGCGCCCGTCCTATGTGCTGGGCGGCCGCGCGATGGAAATCGTTTACGAAGAAGAAGAGCTCAAGCGCTACCTGCGCGATGCCGTGAAAGTGTCCAACGACAGCCCGGTGCTGCTGGACCACTTCCTCAACTGCGCCATCGAAATGGACGTGGATGCGGTCTGCGACGGCACCGACGTAGTGATCGGCGCGATCATGCAGCACATCGAGCAGGCTGGTGTTCACTCCGGTGACTCTGCTTGCTCGCTGCCGCCTTACTCGCTGCCGGCGCACATTCAGGATGTGATGCGCGACCAGGTCAAGAAAATGGCTTTGGAATTGGGCGTGGTCGGTCTGATGAACGTGCAGTTGGCGTTGCAAGGCGAAGACATCTACGTCATCGAGGTCAACCCACGAGCTTCGCGTACCGTGCCATTTGTGTCCAAGTGCATCGGCGTGTCCCTGGCCATGATCGCTGCGCGCGTGATGGCTGGTAAGACTCTGAAAGAAATCGGTTTCACCAAAGAAATCATCCCGAACTTCTACAGCGTGAAAGAGGCGGTGTTCCCGTTCGCCAAATTCCCTGGCGTGGACCCGATCCTGGGCCCAGAGATGAAGTCTACCGGTGAGGTGATGGGCGTGGGCGACACGTTCGGTGAGGCTTTTGCTAAAGCACAGATGGGGGCCAGCGAAATTCTGCCGACCGGCGGTACTGCGTTCATCAGTGTTCGCGATGACGACAAGCCGCTGGTTGCAGGCGTGGCGCGTGATCTGATCAACTTGGGCTTCGAAGTCGTTGCCACCGCAGGGACTGCCAAGTTGATCGAGGCTGCCGGCCTTAAGGTGCGCCGCGTGAACAAGGTAACGGAAGGTCGTCCGCATGTGGTCGACATGATCAAGAATGACGAAGTCACTCTGATCATCAACACGACCGAAGGTCGTCAGTCGATCGCGGATTCCTACTCCATTCGTCGTAACGCCTTGCAGCACAAGATTTACTGCACCACCACCATTGCTGCTGGCGAAGCTATCTGTGAAGCACTTAAGTTCGGTCCAGAAAAGACCGTTCGTCGCTTGCAGGATCTACACGCAGGATTGAAGGCATGAGCATTACCAAATATCCAATGACTGTTCAGGGCGCTCGCGCCCTGGAAGAGGAGCACGCCCACCTGACCAAGGTCGTACGTCCGAAGCTGAGCCAGGACATCGGTACGGCCCGTGAGCTGGGTGACTTGAAGGAGAACGCTGAATATCACGCTGCTCGCGAGCAGCAGGGTATGGTCGAGGCGCGGATTCGTGATATCGAAGGTCGCATGCAAAATGCTGTGATCATCGATGTGACCACTATTCCGCACACCGGCAAGGTGATTTTCGGTACCACTGTCGAAATCGCCAACGTTGAGACGGACGAAAGCGTGACTTACCACATCGTGGGTGAGGACGAGGCTGACATCAAGCAGGGCAAAATCTCTGTCGGTTCGCCTATTGCACGTGCCTTGATCGCCAAGGAAGAGGGTGACGTGGTCGCCGTCAAAACGCCAAGTGGCGTGATCGAGTACGAGATTGTCGAAGTTCGTCACATCTGAAAGGCGGCGCCCGCTTCGTGCGGGCGCCATGCTCTGGCAACTCACTCAGATGTTGTGGGTCGGTGGTTTGTGGCTGCTCCATATTGGGGTGCTGCCGGCACTCGGTTTGATTGGCTTGGCGCCGTTGCTGATCGATGAGCTCGACGGAATGCTCAGTGCGTTGCTGGTGGGCTTTGCGGCAGCGTGCGTATTGCTTCAAGCATTGGTGTTGATCAAGGCTGAAGGTTTGGAGAGTTTGTGGCGGGATATTCGAGGGCAACTGCTGTTGATGGCGCTGTATGCTTGCGCGATGTACTGCGTCGTGCATCTCTGGCTGCCTGAGGCGTTGCGCTGGCGGCTATTCAGCTATCTTGTGCTAGGTTTCTCGGGGCTCGTGCTAGTTGTGCAGCCTGCGCCGGGATGGAGTGGCGGGGCGCGCAAAGCACGCCCTTGACTCTTTTCTCATTTGAAGCGATGAACGTTCGACAGTTGCTTGTTGACGCTGAAATTCTTGCGATACAGCAGCGCCATCTTGCCGATAACCTGAACCAGATCTGCTTTGCCCACTTTGCACAGTTCTGCAATGGCGGCCAGACGTGCTTCGCGATCAAGGATGTTGACCTTGATTTTGATCAGTTCGTGATCGTTGAGTGCGCGCTCGAATTCGGCTAGCACACCCTCAGTCAAACCGTTGTCTGCCACAATCAGAACTGGTTTCAGATGGTGGCCAATGGATTTGTACTGTTTCTTCTGCTCTTGAGTGAGCGGCATAATCTGACCCCTGCGTCTGATCTTGTAAAAAGCGGCGGCCAGTTTACCCGAGCGAGTCCGGGACCGCCCAGTTAATCACGACCCGTTTTATTTTCGAGGTGGCCCGTGGCCCGTTCCAAAACCAGCCTTAACTGGCTAAAAGAACATTTCAACGATCCTTACGTCAAAAAGGCGCAGAAGGACGGCTACCGCTCCCGGGCTAGCTATAAGCTGCTGGAGCTGCAGGACAAGGATAAATTATTCCGGCCAGGCATGAGCGTTATCGACTTGGGGGCAGCCCCAGGTGGTTGGTCGCAGGTGGCCAGTCGTCTGATTGGTGGTCAGGGGCGGTTGATCGCGTCCGACATCCTGGAGATGGATAGCATCCCGGATGTGACCTTTGTTCATGGTGATTTCACTCAGGATGCCGTGCTGGCCGAGATCCTTGAGGCTGTAGGAAATTCACAGGTGGACCTTGTGATTTCCGACATGGCACCCAATATGAGTGGATTACCGGCAGTTGATATGCCACGCGCCATGTTCCTGTGTGAATTGGCATTGGATCTGGCAGGGCGTGTATTGCGCCCAGGCGGTGATTTCCTGGTCAAAGTCTTCCAGGGTGAAGGTTTTGACGAGTACCACAAGAATATCCGTAAGCTGTTCGATAAGGTGCAGATGCGCAAGCCGGACTCCTCAAGGGATCGATCCCGCGAGCAATATCTGTTGGCTCGAGGGTTCCGTGGCATCGAAGGCGCCGCGAGTGATGAGCGTCTTTGAAGGTTTCAACGGAGTCGATAGGTTTTTTTATATCGCTTTCGTCATGAAGCTTTACGAATATTGTGTAGTCAAAGTTTCACAAAGGGTTACAGACGGTGCCTGCCAGAGTTGTAGGTAATGTAGTAAGTTAGGTCGGTGAATATCATGCGAAGCGCGCGCCAGCAGCGGAGCTTGCTTCAGAGGGTAGTTAATTGAACGATATGGCAAAGAATCTGATCCTGTGGTTGATCATCGCGGCTGTCCTGGTGACGGTGATGAACAACTTCTCCAGCCCTAACGAGCCGCAGACCCTCAACTATTCCGACTTCATCCAGCAAGTTAAGGATGGAAAGGTCGAGCGCGTAGCGGTTGATGGCTACGTGATCACCGGCAAACGCACCGATGGCGACAGCTTCAAGACGATTCGTCCGGCAATCCAGGACAACGGTCTGATCGGCGATCTGGTGGACAACCATGTCGTCGTTGAAGGTAAGCAGCCGGAGCAACAGAGCATCTGGACCCAGCTATTGGTAGCCAGCTTCCCAATCCTGGTGATCATTGCTGTGTTCATGTTCTTCATGCGCCAGATGCAAGGCGGCGCGGGAGGCAAGGGTGGGCCGATGAGCTTCGGGAAGAGCAAGGCACGCCTGCTCTCCGAAGATCAGGTGAAAACCACTCTGGCCGACGTTGCCGGTTGTGATGAAGCTAAAGAGGAAGTGGGCGAGCTCGTCGAGTTCCTGCGCGATCCGGGCAAATTTCAGCGCCTTGGTGGGCGTATTCCGCGCGGTGTGCTGATGGTCGGTCCTCCGGGTACTGGTAAAACCTTGCTGGCCAAGGCGATTGCTGGTGAAGCCAAGGTGCCGTTCTTCACGATTTCCGGTTCTGACTTTGTCGAAATGTTCGTCGGTGTCGGCGCAAGCCGTGTTCGCGATATGTTCGAGCAAGCTAAGAAGCATGCGCCGTGCATTATCTTTATCGACGAAATTGACGCCGTTGGTCGTCATCGTGGTGCGGGCATGGGCGGTGGTCACGATGAGCGCGAGCAAACGCTCAACCAATTGCTCGTGGAGATGGATGGTTTCGAGATGAATGACGGCATTATCGTCATCGCCGCAACCAACCGTCCTGATGTGCTTGACCCCGCGTTACTGCGTCCAGGCCGTTTCGACCGTCAGGTCGTGGTTGGCCTGCCGGACATTCGTGGACGCGAGCAGATTCTGAAAGTTCATATGCGCAAAGTGCCGATGGGCGACGACGTTGCTCCTGCGGTGATTGCTCGTGGCACCCCAGGTTTTTCCGGTGCCGACCTTGCCAACTTGGTGAACGAGGCGTCGTTGTTTGCAGCGCGTACCGGCAAGCGCATTGTTGAAATGAAAGAATTCGAGCTGGCAAAAGACAAGATCATGATGGGCGCCGAGCGCAAATCCATGGTTATGTCCGAAAAAGAGAAGCAGAACACTGCTTACCACGAGGCTGGTCACGCTATTGTGGGGCGCGTTGTGCCTGAGCACGACCCGGTCTACAAGGTGTCGATCATTCCACGAGGCCGGGCACTTGGCGTGACTATGTTCCTGCCTGAGGAAGACCGTTATAGCCTCTCCAAGCGCGCGCTGATCAGTCAGATCTGTTCGCTGTATGGCGGGCGGATTGCCGAAGAGATGACTTTGGGTTTTGACGGTGTGACCACCGGCGCCTCCAACGACATCATGCGCGCCAGCCAGATTGCACGAAATATGGTGACCAAGTGGGGCTTGTCCGAAAAACTCGGCCCTCTTATGTATGCCGAGGAAGATGGCGAAGTGTTCTTGGGGCGTGGTGGTGGCGGTCAAAATGCCAGTTTCTCCGGTGAGACTGCCAAGCTGATCGATTCCGAGGTGCGCAGCATCATTGATCAGTGCTACGGCACTGCTAAGCAGATCCTCACGGATAATCGCGACAAGCTCGACGCGATGGCCGATGCTCTGATGAAGTACGAAACCATTGATGCTGATCAGATCGACGACATCATGGCGGGTCGTCCACCGCGCGAGCCTCGTGACTGGGAGGGTGGTTCAGGTACCTCGGGTACTCCGCCCGTTGTTCAGAATGAACGCCCTGAGACCCCAATCGGCGGCCCTGCGGCTGACCACTAAGGTTTGAAATGACTTCTGTGTTGTCCTCCACCCGGTTGCCTTGCGGCAACCGGGTTCTTGATTTGGCCCATACGCATGTCATGGGCATTCTCAATGTAACCCCCGATTCCTTTTCCGACGGCGGCCGATTCAGTCAGCAGGATGCAGCGTTGCGTCATGCCGAGGCGATGGTGGCGGCTGGTGCGACCTTGATCGATGTCGGCGGCGAATCGACTCGGCCTGGTGCTCGTATAGTTTCTCCACTTGAGGAGTTGGAGCGGGTTGCTCCCATTGTCGAGCGCATCGCACGTGAGCTGGATGTGATCATCTCCGTTGATACATCGACTCCGGCTGTCATGCGCGAAACCGCGCGACTTGGGGCTGGATTGATCAATGATGTGCGGTCTCTACGGCGTGATGGAGCCTTGGATGCGGCTGCGGCTACAGGATTGCCGGTGTGCCTGATGCATATGCTCGGTGAGCCCGGGAATATGCAGGACGACCCCCATTACGATGATCTGGTAGGTGAGGTAACGGGTTTCCTGGCTGAGCGAATCGCTCAGTGCGCGGCAGTCGGAATAGCGCCGGAGCAGCTCATCCTGGATCCGGGTTTTGGATTCGCCAAGACTTTGCAGCACAATTTAAGTTTGTTCAAACACATGGAGTCCTTGCATGCCCTTGGTCGTCCCCTGTTGGTCGGGGTGTCGCGCAAGAGCATGATTGGGCTGGCGTTGAATCGTCCTGTTGGCGAACGTCTGTATGGCGGCCTTGCACTGGCGGCGCTTGCCATGACCAAAGGTGCACGGATTTTGCGCGTGCATGATGTCGCCGAGACCGTTGACGTGGTGCGTATGATTGCCGCGGTAGAATCAGCCGAATAAGAATGATGGAGCACTTATGACTAAAAAATATTTTGGCACCGACGGTATTCGTGGTCGGGTCGGCGAGTTTCCCATTACTCCTGATTTTATGCTCAAGTTGGGGTGGGCGGCAGGCATGGCGTTCCGCAGTATGGGGGCGTGCCGCATCCTGGTGGGGAAGGACACTCGAATTTCCGGTTACATGTTTGAATCAGCGCTTGAGGCTGGTTTGTCAGCTGCAGGTGCGGATGTGATGTTGTTGGGGCCAATGCCTACGCCGGCGATCGCTTACCTGACGCGCACGTTTCATGCTGAGGCCGGTATTGTGATCAGCGCTTCTCACAACCCTCACGACGACAACGGCATCAAATTCTTCTCTGGGCAGGGCACTAAACTGCCGGACGAAATCGAGTTAATGATCGAGGAGTTGCTGGATGCCCCCATGACAGTGGTCGAGTCCAGTAAGTTGGGCAAAGTGTCACGTATCAATGATGCATCGGGCCGCTACATCGAATTTTGCAAAAGCAGTGTGCCAAGCAGTACTAATTTCGCTGGCCTTAAAATCGTTGTCGATTGCGCTCACGGTGCGACTTACAAAGTGGCGCCAAGCGTATTCAAGGAGTTGGGCGCTGATGTGACAGTGCTGTCGGCCCAGCCTAACGGTTTGAACATCAACGAGAATTGCGGTTCTACTCATATGGAGCAATTGCAGGCCGCAGTTTTGGCTCAGCATGCCGATCTGGGGATTGCCTTTGATGGCGACGGTGACCGTGTGTTGATGGTGGATCACACCGGTACTGTAGTAGACGGTGATGATCTGTTATTCATCATTGCTCGCGATCTGCATGAGCGTAACAAGTTACAGGGCGGTGTCGTTGGGACACTGATGAGCAATCTGGGCCTTGAGTTGGCTCTGGCGGAATTAGGCATTCCTTTCATTCGCGCGAATGTTGGGGACCGTTATGTGATTGCTGAGCTCCTGGAGCGAAATTGGCAGGTGGGGGGCGAGAACTCCGGGCATGTTGTCTGCTTCCAGCACACCACGACAGGTGATGCCATTATCGCTGCATTGCAGGTGTTGCTTGCGCTGCGGCGTCGTGAAGAGAGCCTCGCTCAAGCGCGTCAGGCTATGCGTAAATGCCCGCAGGTGCTGCTCAATGTGCGCTTTGCCGGTGGCGAAAACCCAATCGAGCACCCCGCTGTTAAGGAAGCGTGCGAGCGCGTGACCCAAGCAATGGCTGGCCGTGGGCGCGTGTTGTTGCGTAAGTCCGGGACCGAGCCTCTGGTGCGTGTCATGGTCGAAGGGGAAGATGAAATACAGGTCCGTGGCCATGCAGAAGACTTGGCGAAACTGGTAACTGAAGTTTGCGCCTGAATTCGGCTTGCCAGTGATGATGTGGTTGGGTAACATCTGCGCCCACTTTGACCGACGAGGTACAGCATGCGTCGCACTATGGTAGCTGGTAACTGGAAGATGCACGGTACCCGCGCCAGTGTCGCTGAGCTGATCAATGGCCTTCGTCACTTGGCTTTGCCTAGCGGTGTTGATGTTGCGGTTTTCCCGCCTTGCTTGCATATCACCCAGGTGGTTGATGGCTTGAAAGGTAAGTCGATTCAGGTCGGCGCGCAGAATTCTGCAGTGGAGGCCATGCAAGGTGCTTTGACTGGCGAGATTGCGCCAAGTCAGTTGGTCGACGCGGGATGTTCATTTGTGCTTGTTGGGCATTCCGAGCGTCGCCAGATGATGGGTGAGCGGGATGGCACCCTCAATCGCAAGTTCGCAGCAGCACAAGCATGTGGCCTGGTTCCTGTGTTGTGTATAGGGGAGACCCTGGAGCAGCGCGAATCCGGCAAGACTCTTGAGGTTGTCTCGCGTCAGCTTGGCAGCATCATTGAAGAGTTGGGCGTTGGCGCGTTTGCAAAGGCGGTCATTGCTTATGAGCCGGTCTGGGCCATTGGTACCGGGCTGACTGCTACACCGCAACAGGCGCAGGATGTGCACGCAGCCATCCGCGCTCAGTTGGCGGCAGAGAATTCTGAAGTCGCACAAGGTGTGCGTCTTCTATACGGCGGCAGCGTGAAGGCGGCCAATGCGGTCGAACTGTTCGGCATGCCGGATATCGATGGGGGGCTCATTGGTGGAGCTTCCCTGAATGCAGATGAGTTCGGTGCGATTTGTCGCGCCGCGGGAAACTGAAAAAATGCTGGAAACAGTCGTAGTCGTTTTTCATCTGTTGGCTGCCCTGGGCGTAGTTGCCCTGGTTTTGTTGCAACAGGGTAAAGGTGCGGATGCTGGTGCGTCTTTCGGTGCAGGTGCTTCAAATACTGTGTTCGGAAGCCAAGGTTCCTCTACCTTTCTTAGTAAGTTTACTGCTATACTTGCCGCCGGTTTCTTCATAACCAGCTTGGGGTTAGGTTACTTTGCTAAAGAGAAAGCTCATATGCTGACTCAAGTAGGTTTGCCAGATCCAGCAGTGTTAGAAGTACCTAAAGCAAAACCGGCTTCTGATGATGTCCCGGTGCTTCAAGAGCAAAAGTCGGCTACTCCAGCGACTGACGTACCTCCAGCTCAAGAGCAGAAGTAAGAAGGGTTTTAAACGCTGTATTGCCGAGGTGGTGGAATTGGTAGACACGCAACCTTGAGGTGGTTGTGCCCATAGGGTGTAGGGGTTCGAGTCCCCTTCTCGGTACCAATTATCAGGAGAGCCCGCTGTTGCGGGCTTTCTTGTAGGTGGAAGGTTACATTGACCCTGTAAAGGATCGGTCGTATACTTCCGCCCCAGCTTTGTCGCGGGGTGGAGCAGTCTGGTAGCTCGTCGGGCTCATAACCCGAAGGTCGTCGGTTCAAATCCGGCCCCCGCAACCAGTTTTAGCGGAGCCCCTTTTAAGGGGCTTTTTGTTAGCTGGACACTTTCAACGCCGCTGTTCGACGGCGTTTCAAGGATGGGCGTTTCGCCCATTTTTTTATTTTGCACAGCATGCACATACATGCACGAGGGGGTTCAGGTGTCGAGCAAGCTAGAAGAGTTGCAGGCCTTGCTGGCCCCGGTGGTCGTGGCCCTAGGCTATGAATGCTGGGGTATTGAGTTTTCGGCTCAAGGTCGCCACTCAATGTTGCGCGTTTATATCGATAAAGAGGGCGGCGTGCTGGTGGACGATTGTGCCATTGTCAGCCGTCAGATCAGTGGTGTGTTGGATGTTGAAGATCCAATTTCCGTTGAGTACACCCTCGAAGTTTCCTCGCCAGGCATGGAACGCCCACTGTTCACTCTCGAGCAGTTTGCTAAATATGTCGGTGAACAAGTGAAGATCAAGCTGCGATCTCCCTTTGAAGGGCGACGCAACTTTCAGGGCCTTCTACGCGGTGTAGAAGAGCAGGACGTCGTGGTGCAGGTAGAAGACCATGAGTTCCTGTTGCCGATCGATATGGTCGACAAGGCCAACATTATTCCCAGTTTTGACTGAGACGCGGATCCCGCGGATCCAATGGCTTGCGAAAGGCGAGGCGTACGATGAGCAAAGAAGTACTGCTGGTTGTTGAGTCGGTATCCAATGAAAAGGGCGTACCGGCAAACGTGATTTTTGAAGCGTTGGAGCTGGCTTTGGCCACTGCTACCAAAAAGCGTTTTGAAGACGAAGTTGATCTGCGTGTGGAAATTAACCGCCACACCGGTGCCTATGAGACTTTCCGTCGCTGGACGGTCGTCGAAGAAGCCGATCTTGATGATCCGGCCATCGAAACCTGGCCGAGCAAGGTTGCTGAAACGCACCCTGGCGCAAAGGTCGGTGATGTCGTCGAAGAAAAGATCGAATCGATTGAATTCGGCCGTATTGCTGCACAGACCGCTAAACAGGTCATCGTGCAGAAGGTTCGCGAAGCCGAGCGCGCTCAAGTCGTTGACGCCTATCGCGAACGCCTGGGTGAGATCATCTCCGGTACCGTTAAAAAAGTAACTCGCGACAATGTGATCGTCGACCTGGGTAACAACGCCGAAGCGTTGCTGGCCCGTGAAGACATCATCTCTCGCGAAACCTTCCGTGTCGGCGTGCGCTTGCGTGCGCTGCTCAAGGAAATCCGCACCGAGAACCGCGGCCCTCAGTTGATCCTGTCGCGTACCGCACCGGAAATGCTGATCGAGCTGTTCCGTATCGAGGTGCCGGAAATTGCCGAAGGTCTGATCGAAGTGATGGCTGCGTCCCGTGACCCGGGTTCGCGCGCCAAAATCGCGGTCCGCTCCAAGGACAAACGTATCGACCCGCAGGGCGCTTGTATTGGTATGCGCGGTTCGCGCGTTCAGGCGGTGTCCGGTGAGTTGGGCGGTGAGCGTGTGGATATCGTCCTGTGGGACGATAACCCGGCGCAGTTCGTGATCAACGCCATGTCGCCGGCTGAAGTGGCGGCAATTATCGTTGACGAAGATGCCCATGCCATGGACATCGCCGTTGGCGCAGACAATCTGGCTCAGGCCATTGGTCGTGGTGGTCAGAACGTGCGTCTGGCCAGCCAACTGACCGGTTGGACCCTGAACGTGATGACCGAATCGGACATCCAGGCTAAGCAGCAAGCTGAAACCGGCGACATCCTGCGCAACTTCATCGAAGAGTTGGAAGTCGATGAAGAATTGGCACAGGTTCTGGTAGATGAAGGTTTCACCAGCCTGGAAGAGATTGCCTACGTACCGTTGGAAG